TTCAGTTTAAGATTTCAATTTTTTAAAAGAAAAAATTAATGATAACATCCGACTATTTCAAGTGTATCATCCGACTATTTCAGTTTAAGAAAAAAATTAAAAGAAATACTTTAATGATAACAAACTATAAGAAAACTTAGAGTCGCTGGAAGATAATCGGATGGTTGATAGTCGCTGCCTCGCTGGTGGCCTGGAAGTCACGGTCGCGGAAGGAACGCCGGAACTGGAAAACGACTCGATTGTGTGCGGATTGCGTCGCAGGAGGCAGCCGAAGGTGCGTTTTGTTAAAAAATTTTAAAATTAATGAAATTTGGGTCGGGTCAGGTCGGGTTGGGTCGGGTCACTAGGTCAAATTCTGCGGATTTCTTTCTCCGACTAGGCGTGGCCTAGTCGCGGCTAAGCGTCGCCTAGCGCGCTTAGAAGCCTAGTCGGCCATAGGCGCTGGTCGCCCAGCATTTCTCCTTCTCCAAAACAACCGGACGACTAGTCGCCGACTAGTCGACGCCTAGGCGACGACTTGACAACCATGGTTGTCTCCTTCAATGGCAGTAGCACCAATTTGTTTAGCAAACTCTTTGACAGCTTTTTGAGCAAATGGCCGTGCAGACAGAACAAATATGTCCTTGCGCTCCTCAATGGGGATGGCATTGATAACCCTGGCAGCTGTGAGGGTTTTGCTCCATGTTCTGAACAAGTCAACTATACAATGCTCTGCACCATCAAGGGTAATATGAAATGCTTCTTCAACGTCGATGTTATGGCGACCATTGGGTAATTCAAATGAAAATGTTTGAGCCAAAATAACAATGTTCAATACTTGAACATCGATGTTAAGCGTATTTTCAGTAGATCCACTTTTGATTTAAATCCCACAAATCATGGAAATCAACCTCTATCTTCTCCCATTCGTTAAAGCTCATTTTGTGGTATAAAAAGGGATCCTTGGGTCTCCTTTCAACACATAAAACTTCACAAATTCATTATTCTTTCATCGCATTGTTTATTAATATTTTCCATAGCTTATGAAAGCCATTTCATGATGTTTTTGTTGTATCCTGCAGTGTTCTTAGTTTACTCATAATCTACTCTTGAGAAGAGTTTTTGTTTTTGAGTGTAGTATACACTTGAAGGGGACTTTGTTCCCTTGCATATTTTGTTCCAAGAAATCACCAAAGAATAAGCTAACAACAGAAAGCCAAAAGAACTATAATCAGATTAGTGTTGTGGTGCAATTATTATTCAACATGAAGCATAAGAAAGGGAAAAGATGTACTCCATATATAGTACAAAAAACATTAAGCAATATGTAAGCTCAAAGCAAACAAAAAAATCAACATTAATTCAAAGAATCAAATGTCTGAACATAAAAAAGTTCTGCCGGTGAAAACACACTACTATCAATGAGAATCGTCCTCTTAAAAGGGGTAATATAGACCTTTCAATTTTAGACATGATTTTAAAACATGAGACTAAGATAAGCACAGGCACGCACACATACCTTCTGTCTCCGTGAAGACATACCGCAACATATCATAGTGGAAGTCTTTTTTGCACATGTGAACCTTGTCGGAGAACAAGATTGCACAATCTTCTTCCGCCCACTGTTCTAGTACCGACATCTTTGATAGTGTTTGTGCAAGCCTGAAAAAAGGAAAGGATTTCATTTGTTTGTGAATAGCCTGAAAAAGGAGGGGGGCAGACCAAAGACGTAAATAAAATAAAGGGAGGACAGAAAACCAGACCTATTAGTAGTAAATTTTAGACCGAACCACACTAAAATTGATTAGAGCAAACTAATTAAGACCGAGGACTGAAAATGCAAAATTCTCCCTACATTCCAAACATGGGTTGGGTGCTCTTAGAGTTTTTTATTTAACAATAACAAAAAGAAAATCCACAAATTTGCCGATTTCAGTCCAAACTTTGGAAACATCATATAGAGAACAGCGACTTGATTGCGTGATGAAGAAACTATAGCTGAAGAGTCTGAACTTCTGAACAAAGCCAAAAGAGAAGAAAAAACACAATCCACCGGATCATCAAATCAGACTAGAGTTACATGTGCATTTTAATTCCAACCTGCCAAAAAACTTCAGAAAGAGGGAAAAAATATAGACCAGATTCGACATAACCCAACCAACAGTTAAACGCAAGTAGTTTAATAAACAACCGCACAACCAAAGGATTCCAATTTTTAAAGAAAGAAACCTTACCAGTAGATCCACGGATCTAGAACAGATGTATGCACACAATTCTCAGTCTTGCCAGAAAAAAGAACACGGATCCAACTCGGACTCGGACTCAGCAGAGAGTTAGTTGTGGAGAATAGAGATGGTCCGACTCGGACTCTCTTGAGAGCGGATGCGGAGGCCGGTCCCCCTCGTTTGAAACTGCCGCGTAATAGGAAAACCTAGATGCGGTCGTGCGTCGTTTGCTTTGTCAAAAAAAAAAACTAAAAAAAAATTGTAAAGTATATTTGTATAAAAAAGTTTAATTATATTAATCTGCTTGAGAACTTTCATAATCTTAGTTAATTGTATCGATATGCCATACAAATTAAGAGTAATTGGATCTCAAAGTTTGTCTAATTTAATTTGAAAAGTTAAACTGAACAAAGATACTGTGACAGATGTAGTATATCGCAAAATCTTAAGTTCAAATTTGAATGAAGTAATCACCTTATGTAACACTCTAAGAAAACCAATAGTACACATATAGCACTCTTTATTGGTTTTCACACATTTAGCTATTCATACTCTTCTAATCATACCATTTTATTATAATGCAGTATTTTAATTGTGTTATTTACCATATTTGTCGAGATCCAAAATTTTAGAAGCGTATTCTCATTTCTTGTACGTAACACTTAGAACCGTCGTGCTAGTCCTCACTCCTTAAACACATTTAATGAACGAAATTAGAAACTTATACTATCTTTTTTGGCAGTGTGGAATGATCATGTCATGCCCACACTTTCTGATAATGTGTTATGTCCCCATGTTTGGATAGTGTGTTATGGTTCATAATACTTAACTACACTTTTTGAATAGTGTGTTATGGTGCACTTTTTACTTATTCTTAATTTGGGTATGTACTCTGATCCCTTAATCAAGATCACACATATAGTCAACATATTAGATTTATCTTTAGGAGATGTATCGTGATTGTGATATTGGATATCGAAACACATTCCATTTCGGCCCAATGTCCAACAATAATTTATTTTAATAAAAATAGTTTTGTTTAACAATTCGATCAATAATACTTGAAGGGTCTGTTTCGGGGCTTTACAGTATTTGTATACGTACCCCGAACGCATAAAACATATAATAAAACATATTTTTTAAAAAGTAATATGTATTATACACAAACGTACGAATAAATGTATTATACCCGTATCCGAATAAGCTAACAACTACTCTGAGACTATGGGGTGTGCGAAAATATGTACATACCCTATTTTCGATTGAAACCTACAAATATAAGATCGGTTGGCATTTACTGGTTTGGTCTTCTGTTTTTTTGGAAGGGAACGGTCTTCTGGTTTAAGAAAGTAGGGATCATGAGTTAAGAAAGTTGTCTTGCATATAAATTTCCTCTTTTTCCATTTTGCAAAGGAAAAGATAAAAGTTACAAGCTTGATACAATGTATTTTTTCCATAAATCACAGTCAAAGTTTATAAACTTTGACCAAGAAGAATCAAATGGAAAGAATATTTTCAGACGGAGGGAGTACGAATCATCGGAATTCTAATCCACAATCATAGTCTTGTATTATACTATGTAATTTACATTATTGTTGTATTGTTACTTGTTTAATTTACTTGCTCACCATGACTATCCCGGCAAAGGCCGAGGACGGTGGCAAATGCATTGGTAAGTGGTAACAAAGGATCCAGCTTCTGTCTACTCCCTCTGAGATAACTTTCAGATCCGATCCGCGGCGAGGGCGCAAAGGTGAAATGGCGGCAGTGAAGGACCTTGCCCGCAGTAGCAAGTTGGTACAAAACTAGACCCCACGACGGCGTCGTTTTGCAGTTCTCGAGCTCATCCGAGCTTCATCTCCTCCGTACTCTCATTTCACGTTTCGTCTTCTCTCTTCATTCAATGCCACCAGTAAGTTTCCCGTGAATCTGTGATTCATTCATAAAATCTCTCAAGTTTCGTTTCCCGTGAGAGCTTCTATTTCTATTCCCGTTGTCTTATCCGCTTTCAGCTTTTCATTTTCAGTGAGAACCAAATCTTTGATCTTCATCAGGACTTGGCTACTTCCCCCATTTCCCTGGACCACTGCTTGCTGTTAAACTCTAGGTTTTACCCATTTTGATTTGGATCTTCTTCATGCATTTAGGTACTCTCTGTTTGAGTACTTTAAATTAGTTTATCGTTTAGTTATTTCATTTGTTGCCGACAACAATGTTCTATGGCAACCATAGTTCAGCTCTTCTTACCAGTCCCAGATCTCTCTAAGCTTTCCGCTTAGGAAGACTGAATTTGAGGCATTTGAAGTTGTGCTTTACATTTACCGCTCTTTTTAAATGCACTTTTGGAATTGAGTTTTTGCTCAAAGTGCATGAGAAAATCATGTTTGATATTTAGAATACTGCAGATTTATATGCATTTAGGCATGTTTGCTCAAATATAGCTAGTTTTTCAAAAGCCTTTCAGTTCATTTGGCATCATGATGCTCACTACATCTATCACGTTATTTTTTTGAGCAGTACTTAGGATGCTACACTATTGAGTTGATAAACAAAGATTCGATTTGAAGGAAATGGAGCAATATGAGATCCTTGAGCAAATAGGAAAAGGGGCTTTTGGGTCTGCCCTTCTTGTGAGACATAGACTTGAAAAGAAAAAGTATGAATATCTGTGCCCCACTGTAGTTTTATTCTTTGTGAACTGCTTTTATTGTTTTAGTTCAACTCTGTATCTGAAGTATGGTAAGTGATCTGCCCTTTCATTTTACTGTTCAAAATAAGGTATGTTCTGAAGAAAATTCGTCTTGCTCGCCAAACTGACAGAACACGTCGAAATGCACACCAAGAGGTTTGTGTTCTTCTTTAAATGTGTCCGGGAAAATTAGTTTTGTGGAAATTACATTGAATCAGAGATTTTTTTACTTGCTATTGACTTAAAGTGAAAGTGTATTGACAAAGATGTGCAAGAATGAGGTTTTTATTGTTTGGGATAATTACCTGAACTTAACGTGCAAATATTTTATTATATTGGTGCCGGAATATGCAACTAAGAGAGCTGTCAAATTGTGTGTACTAAGATCATACTTGGAATGCCTATGGACTAATCTTCTATTTTAATCTGCAGATGGCACTCATTTCAAAAATGAAAAATCCATTTGTTGTGGAGTACAAGGACTCTTGGGTGGAGAAGGTTAGTTCTATGACTTAATATTTTACTTCATTCATACATCGTATTTAATGCCTTTTGTTTTGGATGATCTGCTAGTGTAGACTGTTGACAATTGAGATCATTTCATTGCTGGAGAAGGGAATGCCCCATTTTTGCCATTGTAGTTGGAATGTTTTAACAAGCAATTTCGTAAATGTTTAAAGAACTTCCGTTTCTTTTCATTCTACTTAGTTGTGTTCTATAATTTAGGAAATAAATTTATAGGGAGGGAAATAACATTTTTTCAAGCTCAAAATAATACAATCTACTCTTTTTTGAAACCAATTTGCTTGTTTTCTTATTGCCAAGCGGATATCTGTTTTCACTTTGAATTGCATACGTTTTCATAGAAATTTATTGTTATTGATCTGAACCATGCCACCCCCCTATACTATAAATTGAATTGCATGCATTCAGTGGTGCTTGATCCCTCAGCAAGTTTTGTGGAGTGCACAAGTACCTTATCAAGTTATTAAATACTGACATAGTGCCTTATCTTACAGGGCTGCTACGTGTGCATAATCATAGGTTACTGTGAAGGTGGTGATATGTGAGTTAGCTTAAACATACAGCTTGATAAGTTCTAGTTATATTAACTTCATTTTTTTAAATCTTGAAAGTACCAATGCAGATATCAACAGTTTCCATATCTTCTGAACCTCTTTTTCTCAAATAATTTGCAGGGCTGAAGCAATTAAAAAGGCAAATTGTATCCATTTCTCTGAGGAGGTAAATTGTTTACAGTCTCACGGCTTTTACCTCTCATGATGAAAATA